ATGAAAAACTAGGCAATCGATACTAATAGACGAATAGCGTATTCGGGATTTGGGGGGCTGTGGATCAGGTAAACAGTAGACAGTTGATTTAATTAAATAAATAAATAACAATAGTTGACAGACGAATAAAGTAAACACAGAAAGTATCATACCAGGACGTGACAGCACATAGTTTAGAAGGCCAGAGACACGGAGAAGTATCCGGTAACAGAACCTGGAATAGATGTCCGTAAATGAGGAAGTAAGGAAACCGCACTCCATCTCGCCAAGGAACAGTCCGACAGAAAGAAATCAGTGTTAATGGGCACCCACGAGTGCATGCAAAATGCCAAATTGTGAACAAAATAGATCAGTCGGAGGACGTTAGAAACACAGGTATGGAACCAATCAGAGCTGAGCATGGTGTGCACACACAGAGTCCTGCAGCACAACGCGAGGCATATAGACCAGAGCAGACTGGAACCAATCGGAGGAGAAAAAGGGAGAAGATGCAGCGAGGGAATGAAATGAGGGTTAAACAATACGGCTCGGTAATGAAGCACTGATGCCTTCCAGCTAGATACCTTGATCGAACATCGATTGGTTAACCGGTAGGCTTATATCGATTCCTTGATAAGATTTAGCAATTAGTTTGTCGGCTGCTAATTCAAACCCTACTATACTTTACTACGACGGGCTCCTTGAAAAGGATATGCCGGCTTCATGAATGTCTCTGATTGCCGCCGTAGAAGACATGATCATGGAGTTACTTGGGAACTTTGTACGAGAGACGTCCCCAGCGTCAGTCGACTTTGTTTTGAAGGCACACCTCTAGTCAAGTGCAAACTGCAGGGCAGCAGGAAGTAATCCCTCTCCTCGGAAGTGAGGAGGCCAATGACTTTAATTTAAAAGGCCAGTCATATCGACCTTTGTCACGACATCATCATTAGGGCTTATGCGGCTTTTAAACAGGAGCCAGATGGCCAACCTGAAACCCAACACACTACGCACACTACAAGTTCATTCAGCTCTCCATTATTGCGTGTGATGTTCACATGCTATTGTAATCAAACACCATCTTGTCGTTGTCTCGTTGATCGCTGTGTTTTGTCAAGCTAGAAGATGACTACCAAAATCTTACGTTTAATCTCATGCCCTAGTTTTGCATCATTCAAAGGCATAAAACGTGCATGATCGTTCATTTTCTTCCAGGGAATGCACTCGTGGTGGATTTTGCAACTTCATGCACTTGAAACCTATTTCACGCGAACTGTGTCGTAAACTGTACAACCGAAGTAAAAAACGCTACGGTCGGAAACGTCGATCTCGGTCCCGCTCACGAGATCGACATCGTCGATCGCGATCCCCTCGTTCGTCCCGCCGGTGATGAGCTGTAAACATTTTGACGAGCACAGCCCACGCTTCTCCGCTTGGGTGCATCCGATTGAACTCCAGTCCTTACCCAACGGACCAATTCATCATCCTGTGTCATTGTGTGATTTGAATTACGCACTTTGTCTATATAATGTTTCTCAGCAAATGTTTTTTTTTCGGAGGAGACCGATCTTCCGATCTTGCCAACTGGCTCCCGGTCAGGGACCCAATAGTAATTACATCAACTGCATAGATGGGTTTTTGGTTGAAAGCTAACTTTCTTCTAGTTAAGTATGTCCATACAGAAGCGCCCACACGGACTTGAAGTTAGTTTTTTCAGCACACCAGAAGAATTGCTCATAGGTTTATTTCGTTCTGAAGGGATCACAAGTATTAAGTATTCTGATCCATCGACCATGAGTCACATAATTGACGAATCAATGCTCGTTTTTGCTTTCTGACATCGGCGAAGTTATTTCCCAAACCGCATTATCTACAGCAATCACGAAGTGAACAACAAATTATCACCCACTAGCCGTCTTAGTGAACAGAACTGCTAAGGTTAGTTTGCGCACAGCCGACCGGCCGGTCACTCTCACTGACTATCGCAAATGCTGCGTACGAAAGCGAATCGGCTTAGTAGATAATTAACATGTTTCACTCCGTCGACCACCGATCTATTAATCTCTTAGCTCGTTTTTCCAATATGACAATACGCGCCCGAAAAACCTATTTGGTGATTCGCACAACACATGTACCAACCAGCGTAATCTACGGAGGTCGACTACTTGCTCTAGTGGACGACCGCGATTACCTAAAACTCTATGCCTGACCTCAGCATTACTCGTGCGGTTTCCCCACCAGACTCGTAAAATGTGACGTAGACAGCGAAGTTCGAAAACCAACAATTTTTTTTCTTGTTCCCGTAGTGGCTTAGTTCAGGAACCTCGTCTTGAACGTTGGGCAGAACATTTTAAGGCACAGTTCACCTAATCCCCTTCGACACAAGATCTCCCCTCACCCGGTTCAACTGTGCAAATATTGCCAGGAAATAAGTTACCTCAAACAGCATAAGGCTTCCGACACCGACGGGATGTCCCCATCCTGTTTCAAGGATGGAGGTCCAGCCTTGGTTTAGGAGTTAACAAAATTCCTGGGTTCAGTGTGAAAGAGGGAACAGGTTCCCACTGAATGGTGTGAATCGGTGATCGTACCGATTTACAAGAAAGGTGACAGATCCTCTTGTGAAAACCACGGAGGAGTTTATCCAACATTGCATCTAAGCTTCTCGCTGGTATCATATTCCGTCGATTGTCTGCCGCAACTGAACGGTGTACGCGTGAGAACCACACTGGTTTCAGACCTGATCGAGGCTGTATTGACCACATCTTCACACTCCGCCAAATTCTAGAACACTTCTTTCGTAGACCCACCATTTCTATCTTCCTCAATCTGAAAGCGGCTTTCGACTCACTCGACCGTTCTAAACTCTGGCACTGCCTTTCCCTGAAGGGTGTGCCCGAGAAGTTGATTTCAATATTACGATCACCCTATACTCATAGCCGAAATCGAGTTCGAGCTTAGGGCACTTTTTCACCCGAGTTCACCACAGCAAGTGGTGTTCGACAGGGTTACCCTCTCTCTCCGTTTCTATTTAACTCCATGATAGATTCAATCCTTGAAACAGCCGTATCCTCGTGCGAGGATAGTGGCATCGATTTACTCCCAGGTTGTATGATCTAGAGTATGCAGACAACATTGTGCTACTAAGTAAAGATCCAGGTAAGTTGCAGGCTTTTTGGATAGCTTAAATGCCAGTGTAACCATGTTCGGTATGCGTTTTGCACCTTCAAAGTGTAAAATGTTACTACACGATTGGGTTGGTCTAGCACCCAGACTCACTCTAACTGGGGACGTAGTAGAGGAAGTAGACAAATTTTGTTATCTGGGCAACTATATCTCACCTGACGGACGCATCACAGATGAAGCGCTGGCGCGGATACAAAAGGTTCGGTTGGCATTTGTCAACTTGAGACATTTTTGGCACTGTCGCGACATTCGGCTGTCTATGAAGGGTTGAATATATGCTGCAGCAATTCGGCCAGTACTCCTCTAAGTGCAGAGACTTGGTCTTTTCGGGAACTGGGTAAAAATAGACTGTCGGTGTTTGAATACCGCTGTCTACGTCGCATTTCACGAGTCTGGTGGGGTAGCCAGATGAGCAATGCTGAGGTTAGGCGTACAGTTTTAGGCATTCTCAGTCGTCCACTGAAGCAAGTGATCGACCTGCATAGATTACGTCGGTTGGGGCATGTGTTACGCATGTAGCCAGATAGGTTGCCGCGGCGAGCGATGTTTGCCAAGGCTGGTAGCGGTTGGAAAAAGATCAAGGGTGGTCAAACTAAGACCTGACATGAGGGTATGAAAACCCTAACCAGGAGACTAGGTCACATAAGCCCCGTTAGGCTCCCTGGCTGGGGACCTCCGGATTATGATCACCGATGGTTAGAGACATTGAGTGATATGGCCGGGTGGCGCTCGTGCATACGCTCTTTGTTTCTCTATTACTATTCTATATTAATTCTATCTATCGCTTGAATTTGCTGTCAACATTCTAATCTTTATTCTGCTCTTTTATTCATATGGGGCACCAATAGACAGCATCCATAACCGGTGCAGGAAAGTACATAGTTAATCGTTCTAAAAAGTGGACCGAACATAATGGCCAATTCTGCACCGTATAGGTGAACTGCTGCATTGTATACTCGACTCTTCAGAGACAGGCAGCGAGATGTCGCGACGACGCCACAGATACCTCAAGTTGGCAAATGCCAATCGAGCCTTCTGTTAGCGCGCCGACACTTCATCTGTGATGCGTCCGCCAGGTGACGTATAGCTGCTCAGATTGCAAAATTTGTCTACTTCCCCGGTCAGAGTGAGGTTTGGGGATGGACCCACCCAATTCTTTAACATTTTACACTTTGAAAGAGCGAAACGCATACCGAACATGGCTACGCTATCACTTCAGCTGTCCACAAAAGCTTGCAATTTGGATCTTCACTTATTAGCACAAGGTCGTCTGCTTACTCTGTATAAGACAGTCTGCCACGCGGAAGTTAATCGAGGTCCCTGTCCTCACACGAGGAGAGGGAAAGAAAGAGATGATGGGTCTGCCAAAAAAACGTCGGAGCTCCAGAGTTTGGCGAGTAGTGACGTGGTGGACACAACCTCGAATAGGTCTAAAACCAGCTTGGTTCACACGCGTGCTATCTTCACGAGCCCCAGACAACCGACGGAGTGTAATACTAGCGAGAAGTTTAGAGATGATGTTGATCAAATAATTCCCTCCGTGGTTTTCATAAAAGGATGTATACCGTTATTGTAAATCAGTATGATCACCGATACACCCCATTGAGTTGGAACCTGTTCCTTCTCCCACACGGAGTCTAAGAGTTTCGTCAACTCTAAGACCAAGGCTGAGCCTGCATCCTTAACCACCGATAGGAACGGCCCACCTGGGTCGGGAGCCTTATACCTTTTGAGATAATTTATTTCTCGGGTCACCCCCATTTCAGACGGAGGACTGATGTCAACTGGCATTATTTGCACAATTGAAGCGTGTATAGGGAGTCTCCGACGTTTACCGCGATGTCCGTTGATCGAACAGTTGAGAGAGGTCTTTTTAGAGTTCATCCTTTATTTATGGCGAACTGCAATCACACGGTTTATACGACGAATAAGCCTCGACGCTTCGTTCTGTAGCTGTTGCTCCGTACTGAACCATCCAGACGTACAGCGCACAGTCGGGATCTAGTCGAGAGGTGAACGCTCGACCTCGACACTGCACAATCTCATCACCAGCAACACCCCGAGCTTCGGATCCTGAATCGACTGACATACGGAGAGTGAAGCGTGAGGATGTGGTTGGATCTGGAGAACACAGGGTGATGATTGACGTAGGGTCTTGTATGCGTGTTTCGGAGACAGCCTAAATCTAAATGGAAGGTTTCACGGGTTCCAGAAATGGCTTCTTGTCGACCGATGTGGTAGAATGTGTGGACATTAAACGCGGTTGAGTGGAAATTAGATTTTGTTTCCAAAATCTGATAACCTCTGAGTGGTTGACCTGATTAGTTCAACGCTGAGTGATATCCCATGGGTGGCGCAAATAGGATGCATCTTCTAAGGTTTGGGAGTGAGAGAAGAATTGGACAGATAAGAAAGGTGGTTTTTCAAATGGGTACCCGAGACTTTGGGGCGTGGCATACTTCGCGGTTGTCCACACCGCGAACCCTAACCGGAGTCTTCGACTCAAATGTCTGACCTACAAGGCAGTGGGGCGTAGATCCAACGCGGAAGCGTGAACGAAGCACCCGTGTGGGAGCTTCTAGAGACTTATTACGCAAGGCCTTTGAATTTCGAGTAAGCTTGATGTTCGCTGTTGCGTTGGTTGACGGTCCGCTATGCGGAATCGGCCCTTAACCTTATGCGCCCAATGAAACAAGTGGAACAGCACTTTATTGGCTACGGGCTGCTCAGCTTGGGCGGGCGGTAGCTGTCCGGTGAAGTGCGAAGACTTCTCCCAGCGTCAGAAATCCCCAGGTACCGTTTTCATTTTGGTTATTGAGAAAGGTTGAATTCCTGACAATTAGCCTGCTACCTGTCCTGGTCGACTTAATTTTAGAAATTCTGCCAATGTTTGTGCAGCTTTTGACATAGGTCCAAGCAAGGGAATAATAACACCGGGACAGGTCTTTTCGCATTTGAGATTGCATCGGTGGAGACTTAGTTGTTGCACTTAATTTAGATAAACAAGGTATACTGTGCATGTCTCACAGTCATCTGTCAGATCGCACCCAATTTGCAACCTCCGTAGTCGATTGCTGCTCTTTCACGGCGCTTAAAATAATTGGATCGAGTTCAAACGTTCACAAAGAATACGAATTGACCAGTCCAGGTAGGTCGCTGCCTAAAGTGCTTTAAAAGGTAGTGCGAGCGTTAGGAAAATTATAC